TCATTCAGCCTTCTAAGGGAACATCCCTGCAGTAAACATGATGCATTCACGCTTTTGGTGTTCCATGATGTTGGGATTTATTATTGTACATATCTACTGATCGTCCATCTGAGGTTCTGACGGTACCATTCTGATCACTTTCTCCCTCACGGTGCGTAGTGCTGTTAGACTGCTGTGTGCTCTTGCTTAACTGCCCTCCATTCTCCTCAGCTCTTGAATATACACCTTGGGTCCAGCCGATCTGACTGTTATCCGTATTCTCAGACTTGGCACATCTTATGTGTCACTGCATGCGACTAGTATCCGAGTAGCATCCCATACTAGAGAGCAACGAACAACGCCGCAGTTTCTGACAGGTAACTGATCTCACCGTTAATTCATGTTTCGTAGGGATTGGCTGAAAAATCGATCTTTTCGGATACTGCTCTTGTCAGCGCGTACCACTAAATTCCAGGGGCCCCGGAAAACAGCAAAAACGGCAGTGACCACCACATTTTGCTTCTACGTTTTACAAAAATGCTGCGCAATCCTTCTGACGTTAAAGAAACCAATTTCCCCATGGTCACCATTTTATTTTTGTATACAATGTTAATGTTTCCTGCAATTGCTTCGACCAGGGAGTGCTTAACACATCTACAAAGCGTTTTTAATCATTTTGTACATTCTATTATCAACAATAAGCGAAAAAGGTGCATTCGGCCGACACTGCATTGACATTTTAGGCCTCAGAATCGATAGTAACGTTACCGGTCTCACTGGATGAAAAGACATAGGTCAACATGTTTTATCCATTGTATTAGTCCGTTAATCGCTTACTTCGTATTTTTGGCACTGTTAACGACTATGGACGATTAGTAAATGACTGCGCTACAACTGTCCAGCCTTAAGGCATAAGCGTAATCTTAAGTGTAATCTAGAGAAACTTACGTTAACTCCAGAAGCCGAAGCAGCGCTTAACGCAGTCAAGGAAAAGTTAAAAAAGCCACTTCCCTTTCTAACTTGAGAGCAAACAACAACGTAACGTTTATTCACAAAACAGACGCTTCACAATCCGTCGTGTTGCAGCTCCTAGTAGGTAACGAGATTTAACGCTTGTCTTCCTACTTCCGGAATCCACAGCCTGCCCAGACGAGGGACAACAACTTCGAGCGTAAGCTTCTTACATTTTAATTAACGGGCGAGCACTTCCGTAACAGCCATGATGACTGAGGTTCCTTATCTTGACGGAATACAGTCTCCTCGTTTACGCTGTTCGTGCGCGTTCTGATCGTCATTACTCTAGAGAGACTCAACACCTGGACTACTATTCTCACTTATATCTTAACACTTGCCATAGTGACAGTTCTAACGATCATTTCGCTGATGCACTATTCTGTGCTCACAACTTTCGGTTTCAACGTTCACTCACTGAGCTTGAGGAAATATTTGCTATCTAAACCAATGATACAGTACGATACAGCTTTGGTCGAATGTTTTGTTGAAACCCTTGCAGTTGACCTGCTAAATTCTGATGTATGAATCTAGCGCAACGTTTTCGCCAATAAACCAATACCTTTGGTTCCACAGTACTACGTGCAAGTCGCTGTTGACCATATTCATGGTTAATCTCTCCGACGTACACCATCTATCGCGAAACCATGCATTGACCAATACATTCGGCCGAATATACGCACAGACGTTTGATAACAATCTAAAAACTCCTAAGTGTCAAACCAACAAGGTTTATAGACACGCTGTCACCAATCCTGGAACCGTTTCACATTCGGAAGTACGGTCCAAACGCAATCATCATGATGTAATAAGATTGTTGCTCTCTTCAGATGATTTTACTTATCGGTTGGCGTGTGTTGTTTATTAATTATTGGCCCCTTGCGCAGAAATCTCCGCTAAAACTGTTGCTTATGTTTTTGTTGAATCGTGGACTATAATGCTTGATTTGCCAGGCGCTGTCACCACTAATAGAGGACGTCCATACAACACCTCACATTGTGCGATTTCAGAGCTTCATTGCACTCGCTTTCAGACTACCGCCTACCATTCTGCTACGATTGGCCTTGTCGAGCGATTCGATCTGCAACTAAAAGCCACAACTACAGCTACTTCGCCTGGTACCCGTTGATGTGGAAGCCTTTCAACTAGTCCTTTTGGTATTCTCAATATTTCTAGAGAAGTTATCGGGCGCTGCCCAGCCGAACTTGTTTCTCGCCCAACACTCAGACTCCTAAGCGAAATGATACTTGACTCTGGAGTCAACGGTGAAGTGAATTCTAGATGCTATACTAGGCGCTTAAAGCGGCACCTATGAGCCATCAAAGCGGCATCTCTTTGCTTAAGCGCTCGCAAGCAGCGAATGCATCCGGACTGACACAGTTGTCTATTCGTCTTTGTCAGAACTTATGATGTCCGAAGATCCTTAATACCTGCTTATGAAGGTTCATTCAAAGCCTTACTGATAAAATCGAAGTGTTACGTGCTTAAAAGAAATAGATTCAAAGATTAAGTGATCACTGATGGTTTTCAAACCTGCGTGCGTAGAAGCAACAGTTGATAATGAAAACTCAAACTCTGACACTCAGAAGGTTCTTGCTCCCCTGGCAAAAGCTTGACTGATTTCCAGACGTCCAGCCAACAATCCGATACACACACGTACAGACCGAGTTTTATCCTAGTGCAATAATTCCCATATAAACTACAACGAGCGTTACTTGAAAGCGCGAACTGTAGTGAGACGGGAGTTTTGTAACGGTTGTGAATATACCATATTTTTCTTTCCTCCTATTACCCATGACTGCCCATTTTGTGTCATTGGTTTAAATTCACAAATTAGCAATAAGCATCTTCGAATGCACTCGAGTCGTGACCATTTCATTTTGCTATGCTTGTGTCATCGCTGTTGCTGCGCCTTTCCAGCTTTCGGCATTTGACAGATGGTAACTGAAGGAGTGCTTATAACGCAAGTGTGGCTGGTCGTTCTTAAACTATGACGTTTTGTCTAAGAATGTACATTTCTTCGAGATGCGATGATTTTAAGTAATGATCCACAAAAAATCCAGTCTAATTTTCTTTGTTTGAAAATGTTATGGATTTTATAGGATTTTTCAGGAGACAAACCATTTGTTTTCTGCTATGATAACCTATGTGTCATGTTTCAATCAGGAATTCTCTCATACAACCTACCTTAATGGAGCACAATTTTTGTATCATTCGGAGCGTAGTCCCAATTAAGTACTATCACATAATGGCAACGTATAAAATGTAGTTGCATTAGGTTACTCAGTATATTTAAGAGAACAGGATGATGTAAAAAGTTAAAAAAATGCTTCAAATATCAAAAATGTAACTAAATAATGTATTAAATCAAAGAGAGTGTGTGTCATTTTCGGTTAGAAGTAGGCTGCACAATATGTTCAAGTAACTTCTGTGTGTAAAACAACAAAACTTTAAAAACCTGGAGGTAGCATTGCAAGCATTGTGAATGTCAACAGAGGAAGCATAATTCCTGTACGACATTCTAAGCTTGGGCTCATGAAACAGGTTATGAGCTACGAATAATGAAAGCAAACATGCTTACTGCATTATATCTGCTTTTGATCTTTCTGCTATTTGAAAATAAATGCTGGCTTTTTGACCGCCCCAAAAATCGGATTCTGGAGCGGGATGATGTTTCTCCTTCAATGATGAGCGCCAATGATATGAATGAGTGAGTGTTTGTGGCGGTCATATAAAATGTTCTTGGAGAGAAAAATCAAATAGGTATAGAGAACAGGTTAACATAATGTCGAAAATATTTCGGGATATTTTGTGAAACATGAGGGTCAGGCTGGGTTCTTGGGTAATAATCTTGATCAATTCCCCGAAGATCCTGAGCAGTAAGCGATCAGCAAGCAGCGTTTGCTTCAGGATTTCATGATGATAAAGAAACATGGCCAGTGATTATGGGACAAACACATACCTGTTGCCTATTGTTGGAGCCTTAAACGTGAATGACCCAAACAAATATGTCAACATGAAGGCAGTAAACGCATATCCTTGATTGATTTATGTCTATTATATCTCTAGCTTTCGCTACCGTTGTGTGTACTCAATCCGTCGTGTCAACGATATACCTTTGCGTTCAGTTATAAATTCAAAATATATCAAGTTATAGACTCATTGTGGAAATCTTGGCATTTTTAATCCTTACATACAATTGCCAAAAAAGCTTTAACTTACAGAAAACCGATGTCGGATTTAAACTCAGCAGGTTCGCATTCTACGGGAACGAAGTTTACAGTCATCAAGATATTGTTTCCTACACCCTTCATGGGTGAATAATGATATTTTAGCTTATTTGAAGTATGAATATTGTTGCACCGTGTTACTGACCAATAACGATAAGAAAAAATGTTAAGACTTCCTTCGTTCACGGTAATACGGGATGACAATCTGGCAATACAATCCCATAGACTGTTAACGGTAGCTTAAAACTCTAAATATACATTCACGGCATGCAGTAAAACTGCGCAGGAAGATATTGTATAAATGACCGAAATCCGTTCCAAACGTGCACCATTAAGCCGGCTAGGTGCAAACAAACAGAGCCGCAGGGAGCTCCAGCGGTCAAGCATTTTGCGAAAATCGGTCACTTGTGTTATGCTAGCTGACAAGATTTTGTTTCTTTCGATTTTTTCTTCCATCACACAGCCGGTGAATTGGGTATTTCCAATCCATGTCAAGTGGGCAAGGATTGACCGGGCTTGGTGTGATCTACGTGTCTTGCTTGGGATCTACTATACTGCAAATATATTTGTATACTGGCAGTATACTGCCCTAGATAAACGCTTGGCTGAAGGAGACAAATTAACATTGTTTCAGTCATAGTTGAATTTAAATAGCTTATTATAATGGTGTACACGTGAGTCCCAACGCAAATAGTACAAATATTGCTATAAACGCTTACTCAAATGTATGTAAATGTGTAGTGTACCGTAAAAGAAGCCCAACTTGAAGCTTATGAATACCTTGTTCGTTTCTAATATCCCTTCGAACAATTATACAATCACTAAGCGAGATGTCCTTGATATCTGAAGGTAAAACAAAATCTTATTGTTAGATTAGAAATCTGATTGAATTTTCGTTTTACCCATCGAATAAGCAGGGAATTGGTTGAACTTCAGCACTCAGCTATTCTCATTGTTCAGTTGTACTAACAGGGCAGAATATAGACGGTCAAACATCTGTTGCTCCAGGCTAGTGTTGTGATAATTGGACGAAATGTGCATTCGTATACTAACGTTAATTAATTCGTCTAAAGCGTAATCTGGTATGTCTGCTCAGTAGTATTCACATATACTTACTTTTTATGATAAGAAAGTTAAAGCTGCATTTCTATGCACTGCTGAGATTTGATCCGCAATGCAAACTGCAATACTACTTTTGTTATTTATCTTTTCCCTATACATTTTTTGGTTTTACTTTAGTATCATTTTTTGGTCTTTTCCACAGACGATAGGCAGTTAGATGTACCGTAAATGTTTAAGGCCGTGTGACTTCTAACTCCTATGTAGGTACAACTGTTACTTGATTCGAAAGATGAAATCAATTTGTTGCTCTGGTTTCAAGGTTGAATTTAATAGACATCTGTTGATGTTCATGTGTTATGCGTTTTCCCGCATGTCTTGGAACAAAGCAGTAGTAAATAATCAGTAATTAATTTTGCCTAGATGTACAATTTACGACTGCTATAACGGTGCACTCACATCTAAATTAGTTATCTTTCTCCAAGAACATTTGTGTGCTGTACATACCAGTTAACTTTTGAAGTAATCAGTACAACTCGCACCTTAGCATGGTGGGCTTTTCACTTCTCCTGCCCATCTAGCAACGAACTGCCGCTATCAGTTACTAGCGTCTTCGTTTTAGTTACTGTAGCATACAGGATTTAATCGCACGGTTATTGATGTTCACTATCCATGGTGAACATGTCCTTTTGCCTGCATCTTCGTCCAAACCTTATCGATATGACTAAAAGTTAAGCTTGTTGTACTGCACGCGTTCAGTGGTAGGCATCAGGGTCGAAAGAGAAAGGTATCAAATGGTATGTTCCTGCAATGTAGGGTTATGAATACTGAATACTGGTTCGAAGCAGCGCGTAGAGCTTTCTCTGTGTAGCTGCATCATTCGTCGCTCTTGGACATTTACGCCTTATTTATCGTTCCGCTCTCTATATTTTGCCTCTGCAAAGTGTTTGTCTAAGAGCTTCTTAAATTCGGACACTGAGTTCGCCTCTACTACCTGCTGCGGCAGGTCGTTCCAGATATTCACCACTCTGCGTTCGAAACAGATTTGGTGAGCGGCCCGCTCCAACTTCGGTACGATGAGTTTGTACCGGTGTCCTCGCGTGCAGCTTGGTGTGCGCAGATGAAGCAGTTGTCTCAAGATGGGGTAATCACTCAGATGTAATATCCGGTGCGTCATGATGAGGTCAACCCTCAGCCGACGATAAGCTAGGGTGTATAGCCCTAGTTTCTTACATCGGTCTTCATATGGCATACCTCGTAAGTTGGGAATCAGCCTGGTGGCTACACGCTGCTCACGCTCAAGCTTTTCTACCTCTCCCAGCGTCATGGGACAATACGCGGGAGGGCCGTATTCTCGCATTGATCATATTATCGACACGAAGAGGCGGGTAGCAATCCCTTCGGACCAAGTGCTGAAGCTGCGCCTGAGCGCCCAAAGCATCCGAAGGCTGTTTTGGTACAGCCTTTGAGTGTTGTCAATGGAATTTAGGTCGCAGCGTGAGAGCACACCGAGGTTGCGCACGGAAGACGCGGGATGCAACGGTTTGTTGCGTTGAGCCTGGATACTAGTCGGTAATTCATCACACGTAAGAGACTTGTCAAATACGGGCCAGTATAGCAGTTAGAGGCGATTGAAACCAACGTATATTGTGCACGCTACATAAATAGGGTGCGAATCAACCAGAGCGAGGAATGGTGCAGAAACTTACTCACCTAAAATCTTTGTTTGAACATATGTGTTGTCAGTAAAACAGGCGGGCGTTTTAAGATTAAAAAACCGTAAAATCCAATTTTGCAAAATGCTGAAACAGCGTATTTACCGATACACTAACACGGCCTCCTCTAGAAGTCTGAAGAATGTAAGCCTTCGATTGAGCTGTACGTCTGGGAAACGGAAGGTGAGGATGGATATGACTC